CATCCCTCCTCTCAAAGCTACCAACACAATCACATTTAATCTTTGCAAATAGAAGGCGATATAAATGATTATAAACAGACACAAGCACAGGTAGTATGCAGGCTTCTTTCCACATACACGTTTTCTCTCCCCTTCTTCCAGTCTGGCCAAAGGCATGGGATCAGGCTTTCTAACGCTGAGGTCCCTCAGAAATCACAGTAAGGTGACTTCTCTGTCTCCAGACATAGGGACCCAGGCAAGGGCAAGAATTTGCTCCCCAGGTTACCTCTTTCCTACCTGGTGAATTTAGCTGCTCTAAGTGAAGATCAGTGTAAACTAGGATCTCAGACCAAGTTCACTGTGTATGAAAACCAATATTCCACTTGGAGGAATCTGTCACCCATTTGGAAGCAGAGGCATTAATCATTTTGCAACAAGCACCTTTGAATCTTGAGTGTGATTTTGATAAAGATATTTTGCATTATATGATCCAAGCTACAAATAGAAAATAGCAAAACATAAATGTCTTAGAATTTTACAATTCTTAACGGCTGTTTTATGTGCCGTGGATAGAGATAATGATGCTGTTTAATGAAGTAATTTTATGGCCAAGGAAAGGCAGAGCTTCAAGCACTGAACATCTGTCACACACTGTCTCCCTTGTCACTCTCTCATAGTCACTCGGACCTACTTTCCTCTTGGAGTCTCAGCTGCAGGGGAAGCATCTGGAGGAAGCCTCCTAAACACTCAAGGTCATCATCTTCTAGCAGCTCAGACATGAGACTGAAAGCAGTTGGGATCTGTCACTTTACTCCATGGTCCATGGGCTCCTTGAAGGAGACACCACCATCACTTATGCTGTCTACAGGTCTTCTTGATTTGTCAATATTAGACACTTATTGAAGCATCATTAAAAAGAAAGGATGCCAATGTCATAAGGACAAGTACATGACTAAAAGAAAAAATGAATCAAGATTGAATAGGGTTGGGCATGATAGAACATGGATATAATCCCAGCTACTTTTGAGGTGGAGGTAGGAGGATCAAAGTCAGGGACTGGTGGGCCAAAAGCACAAGACCTTACCTGAAAAACAAACTAGAAGCAAGAAGGACTAGGGGCATGGCTTAAGTGGGAGAGCATTTGCTTAGGAAACACAAGGCCTTGAGTTCAATCCCAGTACCACACACACACAAATGATTAAATTACTTAGTCTTTAGCGCTTCATTTCCATGTCAACAGAGCTGTTATAAAATCATGTTCTTTCAAACAAGCTGTCAGATGTCTCCTGAGTAGGGATATATAAGAAGTATTTTCCTGTTTGTGACCTACCGTTTTGCAGTTATTTGGGCTATTACGCTGAAGTGCTCTTTGGGACAGAATAGGAACACAGCAGTGCCCCAAAGAAAGAAAAACTACAGATTTCCCCATCTCCCTCCTGTGTTTTTGTAGCTTCACATCTCAGATGTAAAATTTCACTTGAGAGTCTCATATAAAAAGCGCTCTCAGGTTTATTTGCTTTTTAATATTATGAAATTGCAACAGAAATTGATTTGGCACTTTATACCATGTACTCTTGAAGCTAGACTTTAAGGGGTTGAACACTCCTTAAAAATACTTATCCAGATTAAATATTTCTAAAATCACGTCATGGGAGAAATGAGACAATGCACTATAATTTTGTGCTTCAGTAATTGTTTCTGATGCCCTTGTTCTATTTTTTTTTCTTTGACATAGAACTCAGATGTGTTTTTTTTTTTTTTTGCAAATAAAATCCAGCAAGAATGTTCTCTGCTTCCTTTCCCCACTTCTGCATAATTGAGCTCGTATATTAGCGAGGGCAGTTATATTTTAAATGGCATGCATATATTTGGCAGTATAATTATGCAAATTCTACCATGTTTATGATTGTAAATATCCTTTGGGAGCAGTCACTTAGCATCTAGTCTTGAAGCAGCTTCTGAAGGATTCTGGCTGAATGCTCACAATTCACTCCTTAATTTACTTCTCTGCTGTGGCCACCAGGCAGAATATTGCACAGTGGTGAAAAGTACAGATGCCCCTTCCTCTCTCTCTCTTCTTCTTTCCTTTCCTCCCTCCCTCCCTCCCTCTCTTCTTCCTCCTTCCTTCCCTCTCCCTCCCTTCTTTTCCTTCTGCTGGGGATTCAATCCAAGGCCCCGTGTGCACTAGGCAAATGCTTGCCGCTGAGCTACATGCTCAGCCCTTGGTTTTTGAGGTAGGATCTGACTATATTGCTAGGTTGGCCTTGAACTCACAATCCTCCTGCCTCCCAAGTGCTGGGATCACAGGCATGCACCACCATGTCCAACAAAAAGAGACTCTTCAATGGATCTGGGCTTTTTATGCCGTTTACTGGCTTTGTGATGGTAGGAAAGCTATTTAACTTCTCTGAGCCTCAGTTTCCACATCTGTAAAGTGGGGATGGTGCTAGTACATATCTCTGTGGCCATAATTACAACTATATCACGTGTAGTACAGACACAGTTTTGTAGTGTGGTTGGCTCAGAAAAGGCCCCTGGTGGACGGCAGCTGCCATCAGTAGCTGTAGAAGACCAGCAGTGCTGTGCTCCAGACATGTCACCATGCCTGCGCCCTCCAAAAGTTCAGTGCCAGACGCAGAGCTGTCGCTGGACAGCAGGACAATGCCAAGCCCCACAGTTCGATCTGCATTGATACCTGATTAGGTAACAGTGGGGAGAACGGCAGAAGGGCTGAAGTCACAGGTTCCAGGTCCCTTAGATCCTTAGAGTCACATGCCTGACAGAGTGTGGGAGTTGCCCTACGACTGCTCTAAATGTGTGTGTGTGTGTGTGTGTGTGTGTGTGTGTGTGTCTGTGGTGTGGGTGGGGGAACACAGGAGAATGGAGTCTAGCCAGCTCACACATGTACGAGCACTCCAAATCCACCCTGTGCAGTTAATTAACAGGTGAGGAATCACCTAGACAAGATGTGTGAGATAAAATTCTTCATTGCTATTTCACATCTTGGGGAAGGGAAGAACGTGAAGATGCAGAGTTACATTCCTAATTTTAGTCATCCATCAGAATGTGACAGTGATGAGTGCACTTCAGGTGAGCAGCCTGTCTTCCTAACATTTTCTACTCTAGATATATAATCATTTGGATTTTCTAAAAAGGTTTTCTAACATGTAAGACAAAACTCCATAGAATCTTCAGAGATTGGGTATCGTGGAGTCTCTGAAGTTGGCAAAGTCTTTCTGAAAAGCCAGTGGGGTCCTAAAGGAATTGTGACCACACTGAAAACTGATGGCCTTCAAGACTCTGTCAGGGACCAACACAGAGAATAGTCCACAGGTCTGTGGTGGGTTCCTTTCTTTCATTCTCTCCAGTAGCCAAGACCCTTGACAAATGGCCCAATGACACTCAGGTTATGTATGTGTGGCACCTACAGATGACACCACTGTTGGCTCAGAGCCCAGGAGATGTGATCCTAGTGGAATGAGCTCTTGGTCCTCTGCCACCCCCAGGTGGGTAGAATGGTGGGACAATAGGAGGATGGACCCTGGTTCTCAGAATCGTAACTAGAAGGTGGATTCTTTTTATTGCTTTCTGGACTAAATTCTTGTGGCTCTAAGTCCTACTCTCCTGACAACACATCATTTCCCAACCCCCCTTGCAGCCACCCTAAGGGACATGTCTACTGCCTTTCTGCAAAGATCACAGCTCCCAAGTCTACAGCATGTCCTGGTAGATGACTCTCTGGTTGTGACACTGGTTTGTTCCAGTGAGCCACAGTGAATGTGTACCCCACACCTCTTAGCTGTCACTACTATGAAAGGGGTCTCTTCCTTTGACTCTTAGAATTTCACTTCCTAAGGACTTTGGAAAAGAGTCAATGAATACTTTCCTCAATCCTTAATTTTTCTTAGTTCTACATAATCAACCCAGTCACCATGCTGTTTCTCTAACTGTGAGAATTGGAATTTGTTGCATTAATGACCCCAAAATGTTCATGTCCATTCTCGTTCCATTCTTCTGAAACTTTTTTGCCATGAGATTCCTTGTGATGAACAAATAAGGAAGGACAGCTTTACACGACAAAATTCTGCTAGAGGGGACAGAGCTTTCTGACTTGTATTTGGAAACAGGCAGTCCACATTCCACTCACAAGTTTGGACTTCTATTTATGAAGTTATGTAATAGTGATAATGCCATTTTTACTGAGGAGCCCTGGTTCTAAGAAGGCACTGAGTAACTAAATATCTGATTCTTATTTTTTATACTCCTTCTAAATTCACATGTGACAACAGGAAAGATGCTTACCTTCATTGGCCTCAATTGCGTTGACTAGATTTTATGATTACAATTATTACACAGACTTCCACTGTATCAAAATTAGCCTTTTCTAATATTACATTATAGTTTTGGAGGGTTTTCAAGATAGAGGAGGAAGGTTCAGGACTGATAACTTATAAATCATATTTTAAAAGAAATTTAAATACTCAGTGTTTTGTTTGCTAGAAAAACTCTGCTGATTTCAGCACCACTCCCAAATAAGTATTAAATCTAAGCAATGCAAATTCACACGTTATCATCCTGGAAGACAGGCAGTGACGTGTTCCTTCCACTTCCCCAAACCAGACGAGAAAACAAAATTGCATTCTAAAGGAAAAATACAAATTGCCCTTGCAAACAGTTCAACCACTCCCTGCTTACTTTTTGTGGTAGATCAATTTTTAGGATCTCTTGATCTATTTGTCTGAATGGTTTCTGTGAGTGACAGTTTTCTTCCAAATAATTCAGAGTGATGTCAATGACCATGCTGTGAGGACCAAAGGACTGACTTCCCCTGTGGTTGCGCCTGTCCCCTTTAGCCTGGCTACTGATGTGCCACACTGAACCCTACTGATTCGGGAATGCTCTACAGAGGAAGGATGACCTTTTCTAGTGTTCAGCACTTTTTCTCCTGGTTTGATCTTGAGAGAACAACTCTTGACAACACAGAAGCACAGACCACACCCTCAGCCACCCCCATGCCATACCTGGTCTCTCTGTCTTTGGGGATTGTCGCAGTGCTGTAAGCAAACACTTGCTTCTCAACTAGAGGAGGCCCGAGGTCCACAATGCTGGATAATCCTGGAGCATTCCGTGGCTTTTCAATATACACCAAGGTGCCTGGCTCTTTTTTAAAGGACTGGCGGCTGGGAGAGGCCCGGTCTGGCTGCATGGTGTGAGGGGGCCCGTGGACATTATGGTGCGCGTGCATGTCTATCATTCTCAGGTCACCAACTCGGTGAGGAGAGGCAGGAGGTGTTTTGGAGCCCAGAGTAGGCAAATGGCTATCTGGATATTTCCTTGATTTCTGTCTGTACAGTGATTGCTCCATGTGCATTTCTGCTTGCAAGGAAGGGTTGCAGTAAGCGCTTGCCGACCGAATTGCTGTGCGGTGATAGGCGATGATGTGATCAGGGACATCCAGGGGGTGGCCACTGTGGGATGAGGCTATACTCATCCGTCCCTCATGATAGAGGTAAGGATCAGCATAGAAACCCTCATTTCTGTACATTGCCATGTTTTTGCTGCTCATGTCTTCATCGGGCTTGACATCTCTTCTTTCCAAAATGGCGCTTGGGCTTGGTGAGATAGATCTGGAGACTGGCAGGCTGGAGAGTCTGTCCCTGGGGATGGTGGCATTTCCAGGAATAACCATGGGGCGGGTGCCCCCATAAGGAATTCTGGATGGAGAGGGAGGCATGGAATGGGGCACAGGAGTGGATGGAGGAGAATTTGGAATTGCATGGGGTGGATGAGCTGTGGATCCAGGCCGAGAGGCACCAGGGCCTTCTCCTCTTGCATAAGCAACTTCTCTCTGCATCTGAAAAGAAAGCAAGGCATTCGAAAGTTGACTCTGATGTTTGTGTTTTAGAGAAGTTTCGATGTGAGTAGAGCTTCCTTGATGTGGGAATCTGAATAACACCCCTTTCCTGCAAGATGCCTGTATCCTAGTTCCTGGAACCTTACATCATGGTAAAAAAAGACTTTACAGCTGGGCTGAAGTCAAGGAGGCTGATATGGGAGAGCATTATCCTGGTGGTGTCAATGAAATCATAAGACTCTTTATATGTGGAAGAGGGAGGCAGGAAAGTCAAGGTCAAGGACAAACTGATGATAGAAACAGAGAAGAGACAGACGGGGAGAGGAAGAGAAAGAGAGGACACAAAGTCCTCTCTGCTGCTGACTTTGAAGGTAGAAGAAGGAGCCATGAGCAAAGGAATGGAGGCCATTTCTAGAAGATGCAAAAGATAAGGAAATGGATTCTTCCTTATGGCCTGCAAGGAAAGTGTAGCCCTACAGCAAGTTGCTATTGGCCCATGAAATTCATTTTGGTCTTCTGACCTCTATAAGATAATAAATGCATGGTGTTTTAAGCCACTAAGGCTTTTTGTTTGTTTGTTTGCAGTGATGGAGTTTAAACCCAGGGTCTCACATATGTTAGGCAAGATTCTATCACTGAGCTACATCATCAGCCCTAAGCCACTCAGTTTGTAGTAATTTATTACACCAACCACAGAAAATGAAACCATGTAATGTAGAGCTCAGCACTGTGGGGGTCCAGGACAAACCAGGGCAGTAGTTTATATTCTGAAGTCAAAGATTTATAGAGGCACTTAATAAATGTGTGGCTAATGGATCAATAGTGCTAAAATTATGTTTCCTAAAATTTTTCCTGGATGCTTTCTTTTTCTATTTTTACCCCTGGGAAATAGTAATCATTTTTCCCATCTTTCCAAGCTAATGTAATCTAGGGATGTAACCAGAGAGGAAAGGGACATCCTTGGTGACAGCTTGGAGGGAAGATCCATTCATCCACCAACTCTTCCTGGAGCCTCTGAGAAATATGCAGAGACATCAGGGATGGGGGAATATAATAATCCAGGAGGAATATAAAATGAGAGACAGAACTCATAGTGGGGAGAGCAAGGAGGAAAAGCAGGAGGGAGCCCAAGCCTGGTGGAGAGAAAGAATCCCAGCAGTAAACCATCTGGAGCTGCCATGTGATAAGGAGCCTGTGGGAGCTGGCCACCTGACCAGGCAGCCTAGACTTCTGGCCTGGGTCATTCCCACTCTGTTCAGAAATGAGGATTCCCATGGGGTCTTCCCCTGACTGTTTTTAGGATAAACAATAACTGAAGAATCAAGTTAATGAGGAAAGGGGGTAGGGGAAAATGAGTTTATAATTTGCAACTATACTACTGTTTAGCCAGGGGCAGAATAAAAATTACACATGACTCAGGACATGATTATCTGATACAATTTGGCTTTGGTCAAGGCCCAAGAGGGAAATGCTCACACAGATTCTCTAACTGTCTGTGAGGAAAGGGACAGACAGGCTTTGGCCATGTTTCAATTCCTCTTTGTACTGCCATGGAAACCCACATTTCCTATCCTGATATTTTTCTAGGTGATGTGACAGACAAAAGGGCACAAATGGTGGGAGGGTGGTTGAGATAGGGACATGCAAGAGTGAGGAGCAGGACTAAATGAGCAAGAACCAAGAAGTGCAGCCAAGAGACTCATGGTGTAGCTGATGGGGTAAGAGGATAGAAAAAGTAGAGGCAACCAGAGAAAATGGAAGAGAGCCCATGCTGTGACTATCATATAAATTCATTTGTTTAGTAAATAACATCTTCCAAGCACTTACTAAGAACTAGGCATTATTTTAGGATACAGCTCTGAGTGAGTCCCCATGATCTTGCCATGAGAGGTAGGGTCTTTCCTACATCTCCTGCATGACAATGCATGGCAAGGACCAGTGGGTCTTCCATGGTTTCCTCATCTTGTCTCTGGAAGGATCCAGCAGTTCAGAATCCTTCACCAGATGAGGAAGTTTTACATGTTATAGTGGATTTCATAGTGAAATTGGCCAATTAAACATATAGACAAGATACAAATAGGTAATAACAAAACAGAGTCCTTTGAGCATTTATTTCCCAAGCACCATTGAATTGGCCTCTTGGCTCCCTTAGGGACTCAGTGTTTCTGGAGATACTCACTCAAAATCACAATTAGGTCTCCATCACCCTTCTAACACACACATAGGGAGTTCCCACCACCATCGCCTAGACTGTTCTTCTCTCAACCTGACATGTGATATCCTCAGCTATCCTCACCCCTACAGCTAGCTGTCTCACCAGTCCTCACCCTGCTGAGTCCACAACTAGGCCCAGACTCCAGGTATGCTCACTTGACATCCTCATGACTCAAGTGCTCAGTGATGTAGACCAGGATGGCCAGCACCAAGGTCACTGTGGGATAATATACCTGACTGATTCTCATTGCACAACAGATCGAGAAGCCATGTGACCAAAGTTTTACAGCAAATCAGCACAGATTCTCTATAAATACTTCTCTCACTCAGTCTTCCATAACTCAGGGCTCCATAGTAACAATAATAAAGGATGGCTCAGCATGAGCAACACACAGCCTTCACAGGTCATAAAATCTGACAGGGACTGGCTCAGCCAGCAGTGGGTATGTCACCAAATTTGCCATGCAGTCAGACCACACAACACCATAACCAACCAAACGAACCTCAAGATGAACTTATCACACTGACTCAAACACACCACTGTGTATAAAGCATCATGTAGTATCCAAGATGAATTACCAACAAATAGTGGGTTCTACTGTCATTAATTTCAAAATTAATAAATTAATAGGATCCCAAATGTCTAGAACCCACTGAGATGAAGAGTAGAGTTAGCAAACCTTCCTTCTATCCTCTGTTATCTTTTCTTTATTTTGCTTCAAATAACATCTTGGATTTGGACTTCTAACTTTAATTAACACACAGCAGAAATCCGCCCCCCTCTTTCTGGCAAGAGAGCAAAAAGAGACATCAAGATTCTAGGAAGCATAGAACTGTTTAGAAGGATAAGTAACATTAGTGAAAAAAATTAATTTTAATTAATAAAAAGTTGGATACACTTCTTTTTAAACAGCAGACATACCTGCATAGGTAAAACATGTTTGGTGGTGTGAAAATAAATGGTTAGGAGCTACATTTAATAACTTTTAAAATGAAACATTAAAAATATTAGGGGAAAAAACTCACTAGATTTCCTGGTAGCATGTGTAGCTGGGATCAGAAAGAAATGTAACAATTAATTATAGGTAATTTTGACTCACTACGTTGTGCCTTCACATGGAGAATGTAAGTAAGAGTCAAAATATTTCACAATTAATATCCAGTATGGCACAGGCACCAGCCAATCAGAATGGAGCCACATTCAGGGAGGATAGAGCCTAGCTATAGGCGGTCAGCCTTGGTGACTTCAAAATAATCTTGCCATCATCCAGTGGGGTCATTGAATGAATCACTGAGTTATTCACAGAGGAATTGAATACAAGCATTCAAGTATGACAGAGCAGGTAATCTGAGGTTGAATATCTCCATTAATACGGGTGAGTTAGAAGCTGGAAGCCTCTGGCAGAATTCATAAGTTGCTTTGCCAAGTTACGACTTACTTTCCAAAACTGAGTTTTAAAAAGCATCCTGATTCTTTCATCTAAATAGAGCCCCAGCTGAGAATAACATGATGATCCCATTAAACCATGGGAAAATATGTTTTACCTACAAATAGAATAAACTCTTAAAAGAGAGAACTTGGGTTCATACACTAAACACCATGGTCCCACTGAAGAACACTTGTGGTTAGGATGTGGAGGAAGGCACAGATGAGAAGAGGGAGTTTCAGTGTGATCTCCCAGGAGCCCACCTGGTCTTCCAATAAACAGAGGACTTTACTGACCCCATACACACTTGTCTGATTGACTGGAGCAGGAGGACAGGAAAGATTCTGTAATCCACAATTTAAAACAACCTTCAATGTTCAGGCTAGTATTCTTCCCATGGCAATATCTTTTTAAAATCAGATTCCTACACAGTTTTATTTCATTTTGGTCTAACAAGTAAAGACTTGGCATTAAATGGATGCTTAGTGTTTTCTGCACTAGTATTCAAAGTCAGACCCCCAGGAGAAAATAAGACTAAGCTCACAAGGTAAAATAAATAACCAACAATGCACAATTGTCATTTACCTTCATACATCTGGGTCCTTCTTTCTGTGACCCATCTCTCTGATGTCACTAATCTTAAGCAACCATCTCATTTCTCTTAGGAAGTTAAAAGTATCTGGATATATCTGATACTTTTTCCCCAGAAAATTTCAATACTGGTATCTTTAGGTAAGCTTTAACATTTTTCATTTCGCAGCAGGAAGATGTAAACACAAAAATAAAGACCCTTCTATACCTTATCAGAATTGGAAATGAGAATTTATTTGCCTGCACCTAACCTCAGGCATAAAAACCATTCAATCAGCTGCCAGTATATGAACCAGACTATTCTCCCTCGTTCATCTATTTTGTTGGGTATTGTGTTTCTCTGTTCCCATTTCTGCCCAAATCACGACCATGTCTTGGCAGCTGGAGTCCTTCCTTCTGGTTCTTGTAAACAGGGAGGTTTCTCCCAGAGCCTGTCACCATGGCCCCCAGTAGGAAGCTGCTGTCTTGTACCCGCAGCACCCCGCTCAGTAAGCGTCTTGCCCTGTCTGTCTGACAGGCTAGAAAATACCTGGTTTATCTTTGAATTAATTATCTGAAGATTGAGTTAGCTATAGCTACATTTCATCTCCACAAAGCACCGTAAATCAATCAAATATCACTCATTCAGAAGTTTCCTGAAGGTAAGAAGGAACATCTTAAGATTGTTTCTGGGGAAAAAAAAAATCTAGCAAGAACAGTGTTCATTTGACATTGTTTGGGGAAACCGTTTCACACAATCCTCTCTTTGCCAAGCATTTCAATACATAG